TCAGTTCTTTGCCGACAAAAAGACTGGTGCGTTTCTCACCTCCTGCAAATCCAGTCCTTCCAGGAATGAACTTCACGACACCATCAAAAGAGTGAACAGCTCCGATTCTCTCAAGCACATGGCAGTGAGTCAAAACTGGGAGGTTGACATCCCTCGTAGACTGCGAACGGACCGCGAACGGGGCGCGAACGTCCGAAATCGGACGACGGAAGGAGCTGGAAAGTGACGGTTCGCCCTCTGGCAGGATTCCACATGTGGAGGCCGAAGAAGGGCAACGACCAACAGGGTATAAAACCCAAAGTGGGATGTGGCTCAAAGGTTTTAACAAACAACATCGAGGGACCCGCGTGTTTTTGTTTGTTTTCCATTTACCAGGGAGGGTGGGGGCATTGAGGCATACTCGCAAGATTTTTGTTTACGGGAGTTTTGTGCTGTCATTTGACCATAGGAACTGCTTTGGTCATTGGTCTCCAAAGCCGTCACTCAGATTTGTGGAGATTGGACCACCCCAGATGGAACATTCTGCTTGAGAAGTCCATTCGTTTTGATCCCAACGTGTGGTTCTCAGCAGAACCCTGAATCCTTCCCCATTCTCAGTGGCGATCTGTGTTCAATTTTGTCCTGTTTGTGTCTTTTTGGTAGTGTTGTTCTTTACAGGCGAGCAGACCTCCTGTGGCAAAACTGTAACTAGATTATTAACAAACGTGGATTTTGTTGGGTGCATGTTGAAGCACAAAGCAAACCTCCAACCATCTTCTCAGATCACCCACCGTTCTTCTGAGATCACCCACCGTTTTCTTTCCTAAATCCTCCAACCCCTGGACGGGCAAAGACAACGCTATTGACGTCTTTACGTAGTCTTTGAACGTCATAGGCGAATCATAGGTCGTGCCAAGCAATATATATATATATAATACGCATGTGTATATATATATATATTCACCTCTAGGGTTCACACTGGTGGGCACACTGCTGACCCAGTAACACCAAGCTGCACCCAGTATCCCAATTGGGTTAGGTTGGCCATCCTATCCCTCCAAACTCGGCCCAGATCTTTTTGGGTGGCCACAGCGGGAGCGAATCTTTGGGATCCATGCCCTGGCCGGGAGCTCAACGGGTGCTCGTCGTCTTCGAATGACGGGAGCTTGCGCCGAGGGAGCCAGTCTTTTTCGGAGCCTGACCGGTGGGTGACCAGGGTGACCATCTATGATCAGCGGATAGCTTGAATGATGCCTGATGAGTTCTAGTGATGTGTTTGTTTTTGCTCACGCCCCCCCTAACGACCCCGGAGAATTTCAACGTTTTCACCATTAACCAAGTTGATACTACGATGGGACGGGGTGGGGATGGGGTGGGGTGGGCCCGGGTGGGGATGGGGTGGGGTCTTTTAACGTTCGCTTGCACTTGCAAACCAAGTTGATACTACGGTGGGGATGGGGTGGGGTGGAGATGGGGTGGGGTCTGTTGACGTTCGCTTGCACTTGCAAACCAAGTTGATGCTACGTTGGGGACGGAAACAAGTCTTGGGCCAGCCATGCCAAAGTTTTGAAGCGCAAAAGCTTCCAAGTGAAGCATGTGAAGATGGAGTGTACGCGCAAAGCGCGTGGTCGGAAAACGCATGGCACATGTATTGACCGCAAACGGTCATCCCTGAAGAAGCTTATCCCGAAAGAGTTGGCATCCAAACGATTCAATGGCAGGTTGAATGCACAGATCCAAGAATATATGTATAGCTTTGTGTGGCGCTGTAATACACCGTCGAAGCACCAACTGCAGAAGTTGGGTCAGATGGCACAGAAGGAGTGGAACGCCTGAAAAGGAGTGGCACGCCTGAAGGAGTGGAAGTATGTTAATGTTTCATGAAAAAAGAGAAACGATTAAATATCCGTTGCTTTTACACTTCCGGGTCCCCGAACGAACTGTCATTTCACAATGGATTTACGATTTGAGAGGCATTTCAGGGTGTAAAAACACATACAAAATGACATTGAGCTAAAAGAGGCATCGCCATAAAGTGCCAGAGGGGTTGTGAAGAACGACTCGAAGATGCATGTGAGAACGCGCAGATCGCGCGGGGCCGTTGCAGCGGGCGTGACCCTTTTTTTGTTCATGCTGAGAGCAGAAGTCTCATCACAGGCTTATGGGGGTTGGACTACTTTAGAAGCTGTGGCCTTTTTGTTCTTTCAAGCTGGGCAGTGGCAGTTCAGGAGGTTGAGTATGCGTGTTGGCATAAAGCCCATGGGGTCGATGTACTGTACCTCTTGAGGAGGCTCTTGGAGGCCAGAGAAAGGTCAAAGTGGGGCCAAAGGACATCCTCACGATGGGCGTGGACCCTTAGGTTATACTTCAGGAGGAAGAAAGTTTGGAACTTTCCTTCAGAACCTCATTGACATTGTTTCTCATTCCCATTCAACTTCCGGCGGAGTAATATACTAGAAGTTTACTGCAGGCAGAAAGTGATCCCCTATAGGCTTCTAAGGGGACTGGGTTCCAGGGTTGTAGGTCGTGTATTCACAGGTTTGTTGCCAAATTTGTGCTGCCGGTCTATATGTATAATACCACTAAATACTAATGAATCGGTGTCGTTTTCGGTACTGATACGAATTGCATGTTGCAATGTTTGACCTTGTGTATCCTTGTGGTGTTCTGCGGCGCCATGTCATGTCGCAGCGCCATGTGATGCGCCGTAACAAGACCGATGAACCACGCCTGAGTCGAACTCGGGTTCGTGTCCATTTGGCACCCCCATGCATCCCCAAACACCTAAACAAGACAAACAGAAGAAAACACATGAGGACCAGTTGCGTGGTCTCTTCTGTTCTCCTCCATTCCACGGCCTTCTGTCTTCATTGATTTTTCAGATCTGCTTCTTCTGGTTACTGTAGCCGCTCCTTCTTTTGGGGTGCCAGGAACGCGCACAGCCGCACGAAAGAGATGGACGGCGTCCAAGTCTTTGAGGATTTCAGGAGACGAGTTGGGCGTCGGGACCGCGTCGTGGGCGTGGGCGTCGCCAACAGCAAGCAGATTGCTTAAGGACTAGGCAAGCCACAGCTTCGAAGCTAGTGTTGTTGGAACATGAATGCGTACTCAAACATGTTATATCATGTCTTATAGAATATCATATAATATTATATTATATATATAATATATATACACACATGAAGTATCATTAAATTATATGAATATCATATATTGCATAATGTACAATGTACACACACATGCAACATATCACATCTATCCATACTGTACCCCTTCCTGGAAGATAGAGGTACTTCGACCAGCCTTCGGCAGAAAAGATCTTGTCTATGATATAATTCTATCGCTACAGATTCGTCCACTGAGAGGATAGGGAACCCGAAATGCGCCATCCTCCCAAATGGCAAGTGCCTAAGAATGCAACCAATTTTGACTGATGTTGACTGTTGAGTAACCCCCCATATGGAAATGTTAAACCCATCCTGTTAGGGGGGTTTGGTTCATCACAGTCAACCTCAACATTACTAGGTTTATATACGGTTGGCTCCTAACACCCAAAAGCCCTGCCAGGGAACTGGCTTCCCAGCCTGGGCTGCCACTGGCGAGAGCACAATTTCATTCAATTTTCTAAAATGAGCTCCGGCCATGAAATGTCAACATTAAACTTCCCAATTCCCTCAAGTGCTGATGAACATCCGCCGTTTCGTCGGCACACAAAAGGATCAAACCAGACAAGAATCATTTCCTGTCCAATACATGTGCCACAGGGAGATTCTCAGGTCTCCATAGTCCTGTGCAGTCCACAAGAATCCTTCTCTACAGCCAGCAGACCAAACATGTTGCAACTGCTGGAGGATCCCCAAAGAGAATGGCAAGGCATATCGTCGCTGGGCTCCATTGGGTTCGTACTTGATTTCATGTTGGATGGGAGGCCAGAAAAATATCTTAAGCTGCGGGCACCCGCCTCAGCTGAGATAAAAAGAAGAAATCGGCTGGATCCTAAACAGAGCTCCAAAGGCCATTGCAACTGATCTAGCAATGGCCTCCAACCTACTAGCGATGGCCTTAAACCTAAGAGCGATGGCTTCTAACCTACTAAACAAGTCAACAAAATCAGATGAATTGAATAGGGTTGTCCTGTCACCCCAATGGCCGGGACTGTCCGGGACCAGAGATCCTTCACAGTAGGAGGAATGGCGAGGTTCCAAAGCGTTGGCACTTGGTCTTTGGTTATCCCTTGGTCTTCGGAGCAGTGCAGGGCTTGATCCGTTTGATCCATCACGACGGACCTATGGAGGGATCGATGCATCCCATTGGTGGGCGACGGCGACCCCCAAATGAAAAGAACCACAGAAGGGGATTTGTCTAGCAATAAAACGTGGTGGACATTGTGACTTTGTTGGAGCCTTTGAATTTTATGTAAATTTACCCAGAGTTTATCTCCACTTCAATGCACAGTGGCTTCGTGAAACACGGGAAAGCCTAATCATCATCCATCACCAAATTGCCTCCAGATGCTGCCTTCACTGCTGCATCTCTCAGGTTTGCATTTCCACTCCATCCAAACTTGGATCCTTTCAGAGGACATCCGCCATCGATTCCCTTGTTCCAGGGACTGGGGGGTTCTGGCGTTTTCTGAGATTTGACGTATTTCGGTCAGGCCCGAGCAGGAAGGAATGTAAAGAATGCCCGACATGGAAAGTGTACAAGTTGCCAAGGCACGAAAGCGAAGGCAGGAGAATCCTGAGTTGCCAACTGGTTCACGCATGTTCACGCTATTTTTCATGCGGGCACCTTGGATATTTGATGGTATTTGTTGGGGTGCTATATGGGCACGAGGTGGACGGCAAATATGTGTACTTACCGCCATGAAGTGGAAGCCACCGGAATAAAAACACATGAATTTGGCTCATCGCTGTTTGGGTTTATGCTCGTGGCCAAGAGGGGCACAAGGATTTCTTGAGCTGGTTGGACCCGCTTGGAGCTGTGCTTTCCGCAGTTTCTGAAGTTCAAGATTTGTTTCAATGACGGAGTCTGCCGTCATTCACGCCCAGTGTCTCGACGCCGTTGGTCGATTTTGGGGCGGTTTTTTTCAGCCAACAAATCGACACATTGTCGCAATGTGAGATCTTTTTTATGCCATGATTTGCCATGTCCGTAATATGAGAACCTGTCAAGTCAACTGGTGGATCCAGCCATGCGACAGCCAGGGATTTTTCCAGGAAGTGTTCCGCCAGCAGAACCGATCGAATGTAGCGAGCTCGCAAACCAGACACCTGTCACATGGCCTATTCACCAAAGCTGTTGATTCACTGTTTCGTACCAGCTGTGATGTTCATCCAGGTAGGCCATGAAGAAGGACCGAGGGGATCCGAAGGGTGGGAGGTTCATGGTCCCTCCACTCTCGTTCAGTGCTCCTCCTGCACCTGCAACAGTCATCCAGAAAGTGCCTGAACGGTACAAGCCCTTCTCTAAGGGTATTATGTTGTTGCTGCACATTCGGATAAGGATTGATGTGGAGATCCAAACTCATCCAGAGATGCAGCTAAAGATAGATAAATTCACTGACCTACTTCTTGTGGTAGCCATGGACAGTGACTCAACAAGGTGGTTTGATTCCCCACCCAATCTTGCTTGGTGACAGCAATTGAGGAGATGCCTTCTCTGCATATTCTTTTTGGGACATACTGGAACATACTTAGTTTACTTGTGTGACAACGGATGAAAAAACGCGCTCTTTCGAACGTACTCAGGAACTTTTCGCTTGCAACTCACTAGCCACTCCGGATCTCAGCGCAAAGCATCCCCCGGTCGCGACGACGACTCGCGACGACGACTCGTCGTGACCTGGGCTTGTTTCCTCTTCGTGATCGTGACCGCGCTGAGATCCGCCGTCCACATGCGATGCGCGCTGTCCACGGCCGTTCTGGCGACGCTCCTTGGGCGGGCCGTGGTGGTGTGGAGCGGTGTGGCGGGACGGCGGGACGTGGGTGGGTCGGCCTTGTGAACATGCTCAAGCAGACTAGCAGCACTTCACAGATGAAATGATATCGATGGAATATGTGCACTTGAGTGTGTAGGGTGGCAAGTTCATCCTGTTATGAGCAGGCGTAATGGGTTTGTCATCCGTGGGCGATAGCATATTTGGATTAGATTAGGCTTTGTCTCCTTACCTGTGAGAGTGGGTAAAAGGTCTTATCATTGGTTTTAGAGAAGTCGGCCTGCCACCTAACCATAGTCATCATCATCGTCGTCGTCCTCATCCTCATCCTCATCCTCCTCCTCCTCCTCCTCCTCCTCATCATCATCATCATCATCATCATCATCTACTGGGCCCTGGTAAGATATACCCAAGATTAGCATGTTTTGTTTGAGCAGTGCATCACACCTCAAGGGATTTGCAGAGGGTATCAGCAAGACAAGGTTTCAAGCTGACCTTCTTCCAAATAGAAATGATGAAGCTGTTTGAAGTCAGAAACATAAATAAACATCTACAACTTGTTTGGCAACACTAGGCTTTCAGCAGGTTATCTTGAACATATGGTTATGGCTCAAAAGATCGTGTGCTCGCAAGACATACAGCTTCAAACCATGAAAAAGCCGACCGGACCAAACAGTGCGTGGTGTCCCGGACATTTGTTTTGTGGAGCTAACGAGTCACACCAGAAAAGAGGTCTGCCTTGCAAAGAGTCCATTCAAACACCCCCTTTTCGATCCTTTTGGATCCCATCTGTCCGTGCCATGCCGCGCAGCGAGGTTGTTTCTCGGATTGTTAGCCCTCGCTGGGCTGGCACAGCATGACCAGCCCAGACGTTTGGGCGACCAAGGAGAACGCTGATGGCTCAAGGGAAAACGTGTTGAAAGATGTTGAAAGTGTTTATGTACGAAACTGGCATATATATATATATTATATATAAATACATAGTATTATATACATCCTGGAGTAGATAGGAAAATCCCCAAAACTATAGGAAACAGGTCATGTTGTTTGATTGGTTCATATTCTATCTACTCTCCAGGATGCTATACATATCCCCAAGTGATTTGCAGATAAAATGCAGACAACATCCTTCGACGTTGATATAGTATAGTATATAACATAGGACTGGGTGGGACTGCGGCTGCATGTTCTAGGGTATGCAACTTTGGAGCTTGGAAATGTTGTGGTCGCCCCAAGCGTCGCAGGACTCCCGCGATGTAGCATGTGTCTTGGAGAGCATCAAGAAGCAGTATATACTTTCAGTGGCCCCAAGTGCAGTCGAGTCTCTTTATTACGTATTTGATTACAGGGCTTGAAAATCCTTGATGGTTCGGAGATCAGGGAGATACGGTATTCTGAAGAATTACATCAGGTTGTTTTTATCTGACCAATCTTTCCCAATCTTCAGGACCGAACAACACGGAGAATTTCGGTTGGTTGCGTCTCGCAGACGAAAAGGATTCATAGTGAATCTGAGCCGAAGTTATATCATGTGATAAGCTTCCATAAACTTCCCACTTGGTCTAAGCAACCTCTGCAAACAGAGATGGCTTGGATTCAGAGCCGAAGATGACCCCTTCGCTGATAAGTGCAAAACGACATGTCTAGTTGCCTCATGTTTGATCATTTGCTGCAACAGGGTGGTGGCAGATGGTGCCAGGGTCGGTGACTGGTGGTCGGTGTTACGTCCCTTTCTGGGCAGGTCGGGGACGTCTTGCCACACCACGCAGTGCTGCGCACTGATGCATGATCGCTGTTTTCAGCGCCTTGGGCTTACTACGGCTGTGTGGATGGACAAGATAATGATACAACAACGTAGGAGTATTGGAGTCAGCATCCCCCGTAAATTCCTAGTTGACGCACTAAATGATAAATTCCGAATTCCTAATGATATTAAATGCATTAAACCGGAAAAAGGTGTCCTGTCGACTGGCGTGGGAATTGTCCCGCCTGTTGCCATGGGGCTGCTATGATGTCCTGGCAAGTTTTAGAGTAGTAAAGAAAGAACCGGAGATATTCACTTCCAACAAGTATTGATACATGCAGTAAACATTGAAACCATGAAAGGTTCTGGGACCAAGGACAGCAGAAGAGGCCTTTCAATTGATTCGTTCTGCGAGGCCTTTCTACCCAGGCCCTCAGGCCTCCGGGCCTCCAGCTTCTCTCCAGCGGGTTCTGAAAGCAAACTGGTGTCACAACGACTTGATCAGAAGTTCATGCACATTCTGTTGTCTCTTGTCTTTGGTTCACCACATGTACACCAGTGCAGGGAGTAGATGAAGTAGTATCTCTGGTGTTCGTCACTTTGCGACTGGGTGTGTCATTTCCTGCACCAGTCCTAACCCACCAATCGCCAAACTGTCGCTCCCCTTTCAACCGGTTCCTCGTCGCGCCCGAGGCAGGCCGGTGAGGCCTCGTTCTGCCGCGCCAGCTGCGCCCCGCGGGAAGGCGCGCGGTGCAGCGGTTCTTTTCTGGGTGGATGTGGGGCTTTCAGTGGAGTTGCGCATGAGAGCTAGCTGAAAGAAGCTACAAGACCCACAAAGACATCCACCAACAACTAGCTAGCTTTCATGTCATGACAGCTAGCCCTCTGGCAAGGTTTCCGAAGGTCCCTCAAAGCAGCTACGAGGACGAGCAAAGAGTCAGGCGGGGGCGGGTATAGTATCCTCTCAGATAATAATGAAGAGGCGCAAAAAGTGACCATTCGCCTGGATGCTCCAAGCAGGTCAAGGCACTAGGGTGCCAAATTGCCCCCACGAAGCGCAGCTTCGATCTCTTGCCCATCGACCGAGCGGCCCTGCCTCGGCTGACCAGACCGTCCGGAGCGATCGCTCCCCGTGGGGGACCGGGGTGAACTTCAGTCCACCAGAGTTCGGGTTCAGGTCGAAAACCAGGTCGAAATCCAGAGGCCATGGGGGCCAGGGGGGCCATGGACAGAATCCCGGGACATCCAGGGACCACTTTTCTCAATCGACCTCCCGAGCCTCGAGGCTGGAGCTGCCATGAGCCCTTCGCCCATCCCTTGGCCAAGGCCATGGGTCTAAGAGTTGTTAAGCGCCATGGGTCTAAGAGTTGTTGGACAAAAACACACGGAACTGCAAATTTCCAGAAAAGAGACAAAAAGAGAGAAGGAGAGAGAGAGAGAGAGAGTGAGAGAGTGGATGCATGAAAGGAAGCAAGGCATAATTTCCCGGCCTAGCGTGCCTTGCAGGCCAGTGTGAGAACTAATTATTTGGTTTTGGCTGGTGTTCTGTTTGCCTTTCTGGCCGTTTCCTTCACTCACAGAACATCACAGAACTTGCACGCGTTCTTTTGGGATGTGCCCTGTTTGAAAGGGCTTTGAATTTGAAGTTAGTTCTGCCTGCATTTACTGGGAGTTGTTCATTATTCTCCGTTGCGGAGAATGTTGCCCGATTCGGGACAGAACTCTTGCAGTGAATCTCTTTGGAATTAAGTATAATATTAGTTGCCGACACCAATTGATTTGATTTTGGAAGTCGCCTGACATTAGGAAAGTCAGCACGAATTGCTTGGGTCAATGGCCCACAATGCCGATGCAATGTTTCGGCCCACGTCTGGCTGGTTCTGAAAGATGTTGGCTAACTAAGCGTTACAAAACCAACATATGCACACCTAAAAGAACAGACGGGCAGAGTAGATTCATCATATACAGTCATATACAATACAGTGATTTCAGAGTAGATTCACCAAAGGGAATCGGTGTACCCGGCAAGGGGGTTATTACTTCCAGTGGGTTTTAGTGAAAAACATATATCTCAAAATTAGACTTAAAGTGCAAATATATACAACGATAGACGATATAAAAACAAAATTTGTGCTTTGCATGACACTGTTCAGTAGCTGATCCACTTGAAGGCTCCTGCTAAAGGAGAACAGCAAACTTTGGTCAATATTTTGAAGTTGGTTGCAAGTGGCTTCAGATAATTGCCCAAGTTTCCAGGAGATGTTTCTCGAAATTGATCGCAATGATGTTGAGGCTGGTTTGAAACAGATGTTGATGTTGTCTTTTTCTGTTCATGACTATACCCATCTATACCCATGTAATGTAGTCTCATAGCCTCATGTGCACTCAAAGTGGCTCAACGACTGTGCTCAAAATTGCTCAGGGGCTTTGCTCAAATCTGCTCAAATTTGCCCAAAAATGCTCAAATCTGCTCAAAATTGCTCAGATACTTTGCTCAATTTTGCTCAATTCTGCTCAAACAATCGCAAAATTGCTCAAAAATGCTCAAACATGCTCAAACATGCTCACAATTGCTCAAAGATGCTCAGCTGCTCAAAATTGCTTATTTGTGCATAGAAACGCTGACAAAGAGCATTGATGTGCAGCCACATGCATGTTTGAAGGTAGGTAACCACATGCATGGCCAAGTGAGATGGTGGTCTCATGTGGAGAGCCAATGTGGTGAAGGTAGGCAACGGGCAAACAGCAAAGATCTGTGGCACACAAAGGGAACGACTGCATGGGATGTGAAGAATGTGAAGCATGTATCTGAGATTGGTGTTTATTGTTTTTTTCATTGCTTGTTTAGCTTGTGAAACAACTTTGATCAATATGTTGTGCAATCTGCTTGCAACCAACTCCAAAAGTTTGCTGTTATCTTTTTGCAGGAGCCTTCAAGTGGATCAGCTACGAAGTCGACAGAGTAACCACGAGTTCACCAGTTATCATGTGCATTCAACAGTTTATGTCAGCTGTTGGCTTTTGTAGCGTCCAAACTTAAATCAGATTATCTTCATGACTTTGTACTCAATTTGTTTGGCAGCGTCATGGTCTTGTTCTGGTTAACTAGTGTTAAGAAGTCACAAGTGTTTTTTTGTTGTTTTTGTGTGTTTTTTGTGTTTAAAATATCATTGATATGTTTTGTTGTGTTTTGATGTTTTTGGAAAATAAATATATTCAACATTATGACGGTTTATGGTTTTGTTGTTGACATGCAAAACTTTTATGAAGCATGCGTTGATGATTACCTTTAAAAAAACGAAAAAAACTTATATAGGATCTAATACCCCCCTTGTGAGTTACACCTCTTAACCTTGCTGATAGATGGCGCAATCCCCCCTTACAGGTGGTTTAGATGGACCGGGCCTTTTTTTAAAGACATCTTGGGGGTTGTGCCATCTACTCTGAAACCACTGGATTGTAAGGAAAGGCTGAAAGGCTGAAGTCTTGTGAGGCAGGAGAAAAGACAGGGCCAATGTTACTATATAACGGCTTCTTGTTAGTAGCGATGGCCTCCAACCTAATAGCATCTAATAGCCGATGGCCTCCAACCCAGTAGCTTCTTGTTGCTAGTAGTAATGCACTTGTTACTAGTAGCGATGCCCTGTTACTCGTACAGAGCTAGTTCCTTTCGGGCTTTAAGGCTGAAAGGCTGAAGACCTCCAGGCGCGACATACCGAAGACTGGCCTGACATTATGGCAGTGTGTTCGGCTGGCATGGTGCTCGTCGAGAGAGTGGCTCGTCCGCCGTTTTAGGGGGTTTCGGAAGGAGTCGAGGGAGGAAGGTGATTTCTTGTATGATTTGCAATAGGGAGACCCTGCGGCCCACTGAATTCTAGAGTATAAGTGACAGTTATATATATCATGTTAGGCCCAAGTGATATACAGCATGGAGCTGTATACTAGAAAGTTACGATGACTTGGATTGGAGGCCTGTTAAACAGTACGGGCATGCATGGTGTAGTGTAGTGCAAAAAATATTGGGAAACATGTGTTGCAATCATTGCAACTCAGTACAGATGGGATTGGGGAGATTGAGCCATATTGAGCCAATTTGTTTGACATGTTTTGTTGCTGTTCATTTGCGCTGGAAGGACTTGTGCCAGCCAGCCAGTTGTGCCGATCGAAAGGGCGGGGTTGTGTTCCCATGGATAGGGGCCAACAGCCAAGTTCCAAAAACCAGTGTTCACAAACTATAGGGCACGGGGTGTTTCAACCTCTACCGATTTGTAAGTCAAGAATCCCAACTAATTTAATTCCACCTTGCGTATCAAGATGTGTCAATCCATGTCAATCCTGACGTTCCAACAGTTTGAGCAAATATGGTGTTTTGCGCCACATGAAACTTGAGGTTTATAGTCTATAGTGAAGGGTCATTCCCGCCGCCACATTCCCTGCTAAGCACCAAATTCACATGATTGATGCAGAGTCAGAGCGACTGGTTCATCACACCGAAACACTTCGCTGCCAACCAACGGCCGTGAACAGCCGCGCTCGCGCCCGCGTTTCGGCTCGCCACGCCATCCAAGCGCCGCTTTTCGAGTGCCGAGGACGCGTTTCATGTGAAGTACAATGCCACCTGTGACCAGTACTGCCAAAAGGGGGCTGGGCCATCCGTTCGAGCCTCGGCCCCTGATTTGTGCAGGCATAGACAGCAGGGAGACTGAGAGCAAGACCCCAAGAATAGGACATCAAAAAGTGGACTCGTATGCTACCAGGAAATTGCTTATGGAATCAAGATCGAGCTCCCATAAACCAGACCTGTCTAGCTCGACGAAAACGAGCTGATGAGACCTGTCTCCCCGGCTGATGAGACGACCATGTTCTCCACCGCTGCAGCGGGTGCACCGGCGCGGACGGTGTCCGAAGCGCGGCGGACCAGCGCTGCGGTGGTCCCGTGTTCGCCGGCACGGTCCCTCATGGTGTTCGGCACGGTCCAGCCTGTTGAAGCACGCCTGTTGAGCCTCAAAGCAACAAACGAAAGACATAAAAATAAAAAACAAACAATACATGACTTGTTGGAAGATGATCTAGTAGTTTGTCCAGCTCCAGAGAAGGGGTCAAACAGTAACCCCTCAAAAACCCCCGGTTTGATGACATCCCATCTACCGTGCGCTTGGACGTTCGACCCTTTCAGTGTGCCGGGTGGGCGGCCGAGCACCGAAAGGAACGATGATGTTTGGACTTCATGGACGAGAAGGTGCGGTCTTCTTCGACGCGTCGTTCATTGCGTGCGGCCGAAGACGAAGACGTTGAAGCGATTCTTCAAAGACGTTGAATCAAAGAGCTCATGGATGCATGGATGTGTGTTTTGCATGGGATAATCACTGCTACACTCAATCTGCTGCTGTTGGGATGGGGTCATCATGATTGATGGACATCACCTGGATATAAGTTCATATATATATATATATACATGACATATGATATAAATTTAAGGTACAATATGTACAAGGGTCTCCAAATAGACACAGACGGTTTTTTGTCCAGTACATTTGTAGTTGGAATTGACGTTTCGATCTATTTTGGGGTCACGGTGGCCCCGAAGGGTTCGATGTAGCCGGCACCTTCAGAAATCCATCAAGTACTTGTCTATCAAGTGGGACCAGGATTCCGTCGGCACTGAAGATGACCAATTCTCTAGCAATCCATGGGGCTGGAATACTTGCCGGTCAGTTGAGGTGTTTTTAATATTTTTTTGGGTCGAATTGTAGATAAATATTCCATACGTCGTGGAGTGTTTGGGATTGGAATCTATTTGCGGTGAGTTGAGAACGGTTTGGTCGGGCTGCAACCATTGGATGGTCTTCCCGAATCATCACAGACACGTGGAAGATGGACCCCGGACTTGCATGATCGTTTTTATCAGTACAGGGTGAGGTGCATTTGACCCTTCAGGGCTTTTCACTCAAGAAGCATGCACCCAAGCAGCATTGAATCTCAATAGATCACCCCTAGAAGTTCAAAGATTTTTTGGCATGGCACCACTCAAAGCAAAAAAATATTCAATTCAAATCACCTAGTCTTGGAAAGATATGTTTCTTTTCAATCGTCCTTGGACTTGCAGGGCGGGATCCTTCTTGGTGCATCGTGACTGACCGAGTTGGGGGTGGACTGGAAGACTGCTGAGGCTATGGTCTTTATCAAAGCTGCCCAGGCGACAAGACAGGCGCGGTCAGCCTCTATGTGTAGAGTAAAGGTGCTTTGAAGACCAAGAACACTTGCCCATTTCTCCCAGAATCAAGTCGAGGTGTCATTCCCCCAGCTTCGGGATGGAGTACATAATTTCATGAAGTTGTTGGGAAGAACGCTTGTGTACTTCTTCTAGCAGTGGTGATTACCAGCGATGAAGCGTCATCAGCTGGGTCTTTGGTGTCCAAGTTTGTGTGACAGGCCATCGAGGCATGCTGTGTGAATGCAGCATGCTTGACCGCTCCTGGGATGCATGTCCTTGTTTCAAGTTCTTGGCGTCCAAGAAGCCAAGAAAAGACGCCTGCCTAACTTTACATCCAGTCTTTATACTTGCCCATGTTGTCCCTCTTGACGAGGAGAGACTTGGGCATGACGCCTATACTCCTCTCAAATGCAAAAAAATAGTTTGCCAATTAGCCATCACTGAGGCATACTGAGGCTGTTCAATTGTTTGAGACGTTTGTTTGGTGTGTTTATCAAAAGGAGTGGATTGGAAAAAAACACACGCATCAAGTTGTCAAGTTGTATCTTAGAAGCTTGTGGACATGTCCTTTTGCCTCCCAATCATGACAGCTTTCCGCTTTGGAAGACATGCGGCCATGTGTACCCTGTTCTTGCTAGAAAACTGCGGATGGGCTGCTCATGGGTACCCGGTAGACTCCGAGAAACATACGTTAGATCCAAAATGGGAATCGGCCAAAACCACCACCTTTAGCGGCCGAAAAAACTGAAGCGATCGTGCCTCATCCGGAAACAACGAGTCACGAAAGGGAATAACCTCCTGAGTAGGATATAGTGAACCAATGTAAGGAAAGCAAGCTGTTTATAACTGGTTTATGTGGAACTGCTGCCAGGGGCCGGACGGAAGCACCACCAAGGTCACCCCAATTTGACGAAGACACGAACACAACAATCCGTTGTTCAGCTGGTTTTGGGCCACATCGACATGTCATTTTGGGATATTGACATGTCGAAGAGCAATTTGCTGTTCGGTTTGGTCCAAGCGAGCGATCCGTATGAGTCATCAAACTCATCACGTGCACACCGCGATCCAGAGCATGGTCGATACAAGCTGAGGGATTGACTAATCCAAACTAACTTGGAGAAAATACCACAAAAGCATCTAAAAGCCAGAGGACATATTTGTTGGAAGGTTCAAAATCCTACCTTGTCAGACTCCAGGGATGCCACACTTCGGGGCCGAATCCGCCAAGGCCTTTAGCACCAGCGCGGTGCAATGGGCCCCCGCGGCCCGACGATGTGAGAAGGCGCCAACATGTGGGAAGGACATCCGTCTCGGTTTTATGCTGACTCGAACTGATTTTTGTTCGGCATGGGGACGAAGACCTCAGTGACCAACTGCCGTCGAAATGCCATGGACAAACATAAGGGAATGATTTCCTCTTCCAAGATCCACTGCTTCCAAGGGGTTATTCTGGGTGGATCTTGGGGGTGCCACAGGGAAGAGACAGATGGGCCCCTTCTTGGATCTGGGGCCCCCTGCTCTTGGCCCTTCACCCTAGCTTTTTCCTTTGGGATTCCTTGGGCCCCTTCTTGGATCTGGGGCTGAGAGGGATGAACCGACATGAAGGTGCCCTTAAGATAAAAGAAATAGAAATTAATGATCCACTTTTTTCAATAGAAATATATAGGAGATAAGAAAAAAGTGGATAATATAAGATATAAAAATGAAGGTACCAAGATCCACCCAGAATAACCCCTTGGAAGCAGTGGATCTTGGACAGGCCGCTGTAATCAAATTGCTGCCTGCAAACAGCGATTTTCTGGGAACAGGAACAATCAAATTAGAGACGCTGCATCACTGCATTCATCGCCAGAACAACCCAGAACCGGACAAGGCCCGGACACAGCGGAGAAGAAAGGGCCCACGCGGTGCCGCCAAGCAGGACACGCAGGCCTGTTCACGAAAGCTAGCCTCATCTAGCTGGAGTCACAGCTAGCGGCAGCCTCAAAGACCTGTCAAGTCCTTGAATTATTCACAAGTTGGACCCCCCCCGCTCGGGGGATTCTACTCCCACTGCTGGCGTCTCCTGGAGAGGCCGGGCCATACCATGAGGCCACATTGCATATGGCAGCATCGATGTTGGCCTTGATCTCACTCAGAACTTTAAATTTGTTCTCCCCGCATCATTCCTGGAAAAGAGCTCATGCCTCTCAACCTCACTGTCCACCATCATCTTAAATACACTGATGTATGCCAATGTGCAAATGCAAACCCACATGATCTCATGATCCTGACGGCACCCAGCCCTTGTGGCGTCATACTGAATGAGTAGCGAATCCCTCATCTTGGCCTTCCTTATGTGCATGGGACAAGGCATGACAAGGCTCATCAAAACCCAACCGCTCAAATCAACCAGCTCTGAACCAAATGACTCGACCTATCTCGCATTCCCTCATCCATCCTCCGATACTGGCTGAGTGTGACAGGTCTGATGCTCTCTTGGAGGGCCTTGAGCTTCCCATCCAGCAGCTGAACCTTCTCATCAAGCTGCCTCATGAACACTTTCCCATAGTATGCCATCACCATGCCCATGCCTCCAACACCACTCATCAGCAGCAATGCCAACACTGCAATCCTGCTTCTGATTTACATACGCTCGAGTCTGATTTGTTGCAGCCCCATGTTGTTGGACCATGGCTCTCATGTTCCCATTAAACACCTGATGATGAAATCACATGAACCCATGCCATGAACTGCAAAAACCAACTAAATCTCATGGTGTTCAATCCGGATATGGACCCCACTTCCCCCCACAACCAGAAGCTCCTTATGCTCATCTCCCAATCGAGCAGCTGCATCAAAGATCTCATCAAGGGATACCGCCCTAAGCTCCTTGTTTGGAGGCTGCCACCTTGCTCATTATAGCACTGCTGTCGGAACAACAAACCGCACCCAGCAGTGGCCTCAAGTCAAGGCCTGGATGAACAAGGCCCGGACAAGGTGAAGACAGGTCCCACGGCAAGGCCAAGCAGGACACACAGACCTGGACGAGGCGTGGACAAGGCCCGGACAAGGCGGTGAAGCAAAACGGACAGCGCTGCCAGACACCGTGGCCAGCCCTGTTTTTGCGTAAGAGAGGACACAACAGCCAGCGAAGATCATCGCGGCAACAGCCTTACTGAGCGATATATGGCTGTTATGACCGCAGCAAAAGGATCATGACCATGACCAAAGAAAGTTGTGCTCGAAGCATATCCATCAAATATAATAAATTTAATATATATATATAGAGAGAGAGAGAGAGGAGATGCTTTCCAAACCAAGGCCTTGAGCCGGACCCCAGACTCCAGACTTGGCCAACAGAAATCCTTTAGCTGTTTTGCGCAAGACCCCAATAACTAGGTGAACCAATGAGCGTCACATGTAGGGGATCATGTAATGTAAAGGATATTGAAGGATCATGGAGCGCAGGGTGTTTTTCTTTCAGCAAAAGTGCCATTTGATCGATTTTTGAGACATCAATTACATGGTGAAAGCAACACCGTGAGATACTCTCTTGGACTCTCCTCTCTCTCTCCACACATGGCCTTCCCATCATCGGGGAGATCCTCTGTGTTTGACCCAGAGAGACCTGTGTTTGACCCATGGTTTTGGGGTTTGACGTCTATCTGCGAAGAAGAGCGTGCGTTTTTCCGGGAGGAATGGGTTCCAGAAGAACTGAAGCCTTTCCTCCAAGCGGTGCGCTGTTCAGCCAGGCATGGATTTTGTCCGGGGTGGAGGGACTGAAAGGGACCAAACACCCGAACATGGCCTAAACACTGTCGTCCAGGAATCTGGCGGTCTGGCTCAGAAAGGCTGATCCGTGCTCCACTTGAAGGTGTCTTTTTTTTTTGGGGGGGGGGTGTTCCGGAATTCATGAACGGTTTGCGAGTTGGATGGTTGAATGGTCCTTTAATAAACAGCTAAGTATGGTAGCTGTGTGTTCAGCATGCGACATCTTGTGTTTGTGGTGCAGTGTGCCCCTTTGCAAAGTTCCAACCCTCTACAGAGCACAGTTTGATAGTTTGCAGCCCAAACCCTTAAGACATCCAAAACACTCCAATTCCAAGATATTCCAACACCTTCAATTTATAACATGCATATCACATATCAAAGTACCATTTTTTTGATGCACACCCCGAAGCCGCAGGTTATATACTTCGGCCTGCCGAGGATGCACAGTTAGAGCGAGCATGTGCGGATTTGGTTAAAGCAGAAGCATGGCCAGAAGAGCCATATCGATTCTTGCATGTGCCGGGAACCTTTTGGATGGTTGAGTCAAACATATTAGATCCACAAGGACTGGTGGATCGGTGGTATCTTAGAGCAGGACCTAAAGATTTGTCCAATCACGCAAAATGGTGTTTGCAAGACCCTGAACTATTCAGTGGTGCCACCCACTATAGCTATATACATTGTGTGGATGATGCAAAGTTGCGCTGCCTGGGCGTCCCGGTCTTCCAGCATTCGCATGCCGACATCACAGAGTCACAGAAAGTGGGCAGGTTTTTCACGATATAATTCAATGAGAAGAATGGTGTGTGTTTTAGGCCATTTGGTGTTGGAAACCTTTGGTCCCTGCAGAAGGAGACAACGTTCCAACTTCGAACATCGTGCCAATTGTAAGAACTGGCTGCATAGAATAGGGATGAATAGGGAGAACCAGCAATCAATGGGCCACAGTCCATGTTCCCTTATGATTTGTAGAGGTTCTACGTTGAAACACTTTGATGCCCATCTCTTTTCCGACGAAAGGGGAATCCCGTTGATCATCGGTGTTTCTCTTCATCCAGTTCTATAAGGCTACAGTGGCCTCCTTGCTGAGCTCCGTTTGCTTGAAGCGAGTAAATGTAGAACCAGCGAACATCCCCAAGTTCCCTTGGATAGTCCCAGAAGAAATTGGTTTCAGGCAGCCCACTCTGAAGATGCTCAGCTACGCTCAGTCAAAATGCAGGGCAATTAGCTACCGGCAAGATTGTGAGTGATGCACTTGCAAGAGGTCGATCACAGCTGGCCCAACCGAACACCATCACAGCCACCGTGGCATTTGGTGTTTGCCGGGTCGCTGAAACTCATGAACTTTGCATCGATTGATTTGAACGATCGAAAGCCCGGGAAAGTTGCCCGCCTGATGCTCGGTCAGGTTTTAATGACTTTGAGAGTTTCAAGATATTTCAAGCAACAAAACCCATGGTCATGAGGTGCTCGGAGTTCCACCTTTCTCGCAACCTCGATCGAATCCCCTGAACCCAAAAAGGGGCTCGGAGCGTGAGCCAAGCCAGGACGGTCGTGTTTTTTGGTTGGTCACTGGTCACCCTGTGAAACCTGGGTTGGTTTCTGGATAATTCCCTCAAGTGAAAGGCTGTCCCTTTGAGGTCTAAGAGGTTGACATCGAGCCCCAATCCGGACTTCCACAGACCCAAACAAAGTACCCCAAGCAGTTCGACTCTAATCGTTCTTATCCCCACAAGCCAGACCTTGTTCCTTTCACCACCGGGGCAGTTCCACAGTGATCTTTGCATGATTCGGATCGGGGTTGCTTCTGGCTTTCGGAATGCCCGCCAAGATTGCGCATGTCCTGTAAAGGCGAAGGACTCAACCGATGATACGGATCTGGGGCTGGACACAATCAAGCAAGACATGAGATTGGTGCATTTTCATTTCGACCTCTAATGAGCTGTTTTTGGGGGGAGTTAGCATGATGTTTAATGGGTCAACCTAGTCAATAGCTGCACGTGTGTCATTGTTTCTTGTTCACATGGAAATTGGAGGGACACTACTGTTTTGAGGTCTGTGCTAACTAGGAAATGCGGGTCAACCCAAGTGCCTCACAGTTTGAAGTTTGAAAGGATAAAATACCTTGATTCACCGGTCGTCCCACTTAAGAAGCACCTCGTTGCCACCTCAAGGATAGTTCATGGTCTATTTATTATCATTTCAATTGGGATGAAGATGTTTTCGATGCGTTGGAGTCCTGTGATGGACATGTGTTCCTTCAATGTTTCGGGCTCAGCGTGCACAGGCCAACAGCGGCCTAGAGCAGCGGACAGATTGTTTGCTTTTCAAAAATTATATAGTTTGTAGTTTTTATATACATGTTTTCTAGTTTGCGGCCGGAGCTGGATCACCAAAACCAGAGATTTTGAGGATCCCCAAGAAGAAGCACTGTCCGCGCGTGGAAATTCATGCCAGTTTTGCGTTTAGTTGATGTGTGGAGG